ATATACATATGTATACATGTATGCAGACTCCTGGGGTGGCACTATATTATCAGCACTGGACTGTGAATGACAAGTTCTGCAGTTCAGATGGATCAACTACTACTGGGAAACCCTACACTTGGCTGCTATGAGTTGGAATTGACTCAGAGGCACTTAACAACAGCTTTGGACCCTAAGGTTGATGTGAACTAAAAAGTTGGCTGTTTAAGCCTACCAGTCAATTCTCAGAAATCCTATACAGGATTGCTATGAGTCGGGACTAATTTGACACATTTAACATCATACAAACACACAAGCATTAAGTAGATAGATAATTGGATAGATAGATAATTGCACAAAAAGAGGATAGGGAAGAGTCTATCCTCTTAATGACAAAAACAGATATGGAGAAGTAGATTCTAGTAGTCAATAAGTGGAAAAGACTTAAAAATTACAACAAATCATTCCAGAAGTGATACTGGAAGATCCTAATATAAAATGTTATTTTAAAGTATTATAAAGCCATTAATATTTGATTGACATTGTATGGTTTTGTAAGAAATGTAGTAAATATGTTGATCATTTTTAAGAGGCTTTCCAATAAAATATGTATACTTACATGTAATATTTATACTATAATATTGAAAAATAATTTCCCTTTAATATGGGGTAAAAAATATATTTATAATAATTAGATAATATACATCTGTGTCATTTTTTTTTGCAAAATTACATGACAATTACTATCACATTATCGTTTGTGGATTAGAGAAAGCATAAATAGTCATTTATTTTTATATGTAGATAAGCACCTGGAAAGTTGTTTCTATTGAATATAAAGCTCAATGGTCATCAATAATAAAATTTCTTATTACTGCAAAGTGGCAATTCATTGTTTTATTTTTCCATAAAATATTCCTCCTTTGGTGTTTGTATATTATAAACTGCTTTCATTAGTGTAACAATAATCATGGAGCATTGGCCTCTTTTTTTATCATTGTAACAGAGGATGATTGCCTGGTAGAAAGTTTTTCTTGGTCATAAAATTTTAATAAGAATCTCTCTATCAAGAAATTTTGGAAAACCTTTACTTTGTTTCTTAAGTAAAAATATGCAGGAACCAAATAAGAAGATAATTCTATTAGAATAAAAAAAGAAGACACCAGTTTATTTTGTACCTTCTATGATACTTCTTAGAGTTCTGGTGTGGCACTACAGGATAATCCCTGGACCATAAGGTCAGTTTCAACTGTCATGTTGACAGTTCATAGCGATCAGCCTCTTCTCAAAAATCCTAGACAGGGTCGCTGTGAACAGAAACCAACTCAAAGGTACTTATCAACAACAACAACAAATGACATGTCTTGATCCCTGATGTGGCATTGTTGGTTAAGCACTGGACTGGTAACAAAAAAGTCAGCAATTCAAAAACACCAGTCACTCTTGAAAACCCTATACAAGGATGGTATGAGTTGGGTGGCACACAAAAACAATATGACATTTTGCCTTAACCTTTCTGCTTGCACTAAAGATAAATTCCTCTAAGTCATTATCTATAGCACTACTTTGTATTTATCTGTGTGTGCATACAGAATCCCAAACAAATTGAGCATGAATTCAATAAAAAAGTTTGAAAACAGCACAAGTGTGCTAACGTGTGTTTTTCAAATTAGATGGATCATAAAGTCTCACAATGAATCATTAAGTTCTTGATAAGGTGGGCAGCCACTCTTCTGTATATGCTGGAGGTCAGCTGTTGGCATTATTATAATAGCCAAAAAAGTACATAATCACACAAGTATTTTTATCTCATGCTGAAACCTAATGCTTTAAATGATCTTTATCAATGCCAGAAATAATTCCTAAAACTACTTACAAGAATCTACTTAGATTTTGTTCTACATTAAGAATAGTCATTAAGTGCTATTAAGCAGATAGAAAAATAACTCTAGTTGCTATGCATAGGATAGACTAAAGGAATATCACAGTTTGCAATAGTTACTCCCCCACCCCTCAAAATGGTAAGAGTCAGAGTTAAGATATCAGCATTGCTTTGGTGTGGTGCTGTAGGATAAGCACTGGACTGCTAATAGAAAGTTAATGGTTCAAATCCACCAGCCACTACTTGCAAACACTATACATGGTGACTATGAGTCAGAACCAACTCTATGGCACTTAATGTGGAAAAAATGAAAGAAAAATAAAAGACATCTTCAATAATTGATTATTGTTATTATTAAGAGTGGTGAAAAGTGAACCTATGGGGGGGAAAGGATCAACTAATGACTTCCAATAATGTAGCTTAAGAGACATATTGTGTAGCCCTGAATGAAGATAGGGAATATGACTGGAAGAGTAGATATTTGACACAAATAAAAAAGCCTCAATACAATACACACTGGACTGTGAACCACAGATTGATGGTTCAAACCCACCAGCCACTTGGGGGTAGAAAGATGAGGCTTTCTGCTCCTGCAAAGATGTACAGCCTTGGAAACCCTATACAAAGTTACTATGAATTGAAACTGACTTGACGTTACTTAACAATAGTATCAAAATGTAAACTACATGCAAACTTTTTAAATCACATAACAGCTTCATAAAAGTAAAATTGAGAAATTAACTCAAGTGCATAAAGTTAACTTTTAAGTATTAGGTCTCAGTCATACCCTAGGATTTGTTATCTCTGATGATCGAGTCCCATACAGTCTCTTGGCTCCTTTGAGAATATCATTATGTTCACCTTTTAAACTGCTCTAAGATACTTAATATGAATTCCTTCCAAAATGGCAGATGCATCTGAACAGGAAGAATCAGATAAGCCCATAAAGAAAATAGTTGAAGACCTTCAAGAAGAATATTTCCCTAACATCTTGAAAGATGAGAAGATAAATACTCAAGAAGCTGAATGTACCCCAGGAATGATAGACCCCAAAAAGAAGTCACCAAGCCATTTAATAATCAAGTTCTCCAAAATCAAAGAAAAGGAGAGAATTCTAAAAGCAGCCAGGGAGAAGAGAAGTGTCACTTACAAAGGCAAGAAAA